GTCGCCATCACCTTCATCCACGTCGAATCTTCACCGTCACCATCTTCTTCTTACCGTCGACGTTTTGCCGTCCCCATCACCTTCATCCCGTCGAATCTTCACCGTCACCACCTTCTTCTTACCGTCGACGTTTTGCCGTCGCCATCACCTTCCCCATGTCGAATCTTCACCGTCACCATCTTCTTCTTACCGTCGACGTTTTGCCGTCGCCATCACCTTCCCCACGTCGAATCTTCACCGTCACCATCTTCTTCTTACCGTCGACGTTTTGCCGTCACCATCACCTTCATCCCGTCGAATCTTCACCGTCACCACCTTCTTCTTACCGCCGACGTTTTGCCGTCGCCATCACCCCACGTCGAATCTTCACCGTCACTACCTTCTTCTTACCGTCGACGTTTTGCCGTCGCCATCACCTTCTCCACGTCGAATCTTCACCGTCACCACCTTCTTCTTAAAGTCGTCGTTTTGCCGTCACCATCACCTTCATCCCGTCGAATCTTCACCGTCACCACCTTCTTCTTACCGTCGACGTTTTGCCGTAGCCATCACCTTCTCCACGTCGAATCTTCACCGTCACCACCTTCTTCTTACCGTCGACGTTTTGCCGTCGCCATCACCTTCCCCATGTCGAATCTTCACCGTCACCATCTTCTTCTTACCGTCGACGTTTTGCCGTCGCCATCACCTTCCCCACGTCGAATCTTCACCGTCACCATCTTCTTCTTACCGTCGACGTTTTGCCGTCACCATCACCTTCATCCCGTCGAATCTTCACCGTCACCACCTTCTTCTTACCGCCGACGTTTTGCCGTCGCCATCACCCCACGTCGAATCTTCACCGTCACTACCTTCTTCTTACCGTCGACGTTTTGCCGTCGCCATCACCTTCTCCACGTCGAATCTTCACCGTCACCACCTTCTTCTTAAAGTCGTCGTTTTGCCGTCACCATCACCTTCATCCCGTCGAATCTTCACCGTCACCACCTTCTTCTTACCGTCGACGTTTTGCCGTAGCCATCACCTTCTCCACGTCGAATCTTCACCGTCACCACCTTCTTCTTACCGTCGACGTTTTGCCGTCGCCATCACCTTCCCCACGTCGAATCTTCACCGTCATCACCTTCTTACCGTCGACGTTTTGCCGTCGCCATCACCTTCTCCACGTCGAATCTTCACCGTCACCATCTTCTTCTTACCGTCGACGTTTTGCCGTCGCCATCACCTTCTCCACGTCGAATCTTCACCGTCACCACCTTCTTCTTACCGTCGACGTTTTGCCGTCGCCATCACCTTCATCCCGTCGAATCTTCACCGTCACCACCTGCTTCTTACCGTCGACGTTTTGCCGTCGCCATCACCTTCTGTGTAATCTGCACGGGGGTACCTGGCGCAATGCAGTTCGGGGGTTTGCATGGACCGTTGCTATTTGGGGGGTTAACTGGCATAATTGTTTTCGGGGGGTTTGCATGGACCGATGCTATTTGGGGGGTTATCTGGCATAATTTGTTTCGGGGGGTTTGCCTAGACCTATGCTAATTGGGGGGTGACCTGACATAATGTGGTTCGGGGGTTTGCATGGACCGATGCTATCTGGGGGATTAACTGGCATAGTGCAGTTGGGGGGTTCGCATGGACCTATGCTAATTGGGGGGTGACCTGACATAATGTGGTTCGGTGGGTTTGCATGGACCGATGCTATTTGGGGGGTTATCTGGCGTAATGTGTTGGGGGGTTTGCATGGACCGATGCTAATTGGGGGGTGACCTGACATAATGTGGTTCGGTGGGTTTGCATGGACCGATGCTATTTGGGGGGTTATCCGGCATAATTTGTTTCGGGGGGTTTGCATGGACCTATACTAATTGGGGGGTGACCTGACATAATGTGGTTCGGGGGGTTTGCATGGACCGATGCTATTTGGGGGGTGACCTGGCATAATGTGGTTCGGGGGGTTTGCATGGACCGATGCTATTTGGGGGGTTATCTGGCATAATTTGTTTCGGGGGGTTTGCATGGACCGATGCTAATTGGGGGGTGACCTGACATAATGTGGTTCGGTGGGTTTGCATGGACCGATGCTATCTGGGGGATTGCCTGGCATATGGTTCGGGGGTTTGCATGGACCGATGCTAATTGGGGGGTGACCTGACATAATGTGGTTCGGTGGGTTTGCATGGACCGATGCTATTTGAAGGGTTATCTGGCATAATTTGTTTCG